TTCCAACATCTCATTACACAGAAAATAAAAAACCTAATCAATCTGTCAAATGTTTCTAGTTAAACTTCATTGAAACAGACAGAATACATGCCATAAAATACTAGGATTTGTTAACTTACTTTAATATGCCATTTTTAGCTAATTTTTACACTTTTGGAAAATCTATACTTAAATTGAAACCGCGATATCTCGGTCAAAATTGCATGAAAAACCTCATGCTATATATCAAAATTTAAGTTAGACATTACAGAATATAAAAATCATAATTTTAGTGCAATAGTTCCTTTAATTTTGAATTTATACTTAATCAAACAGGGTTACCTTTTTTTGCGCCACCCGGTATATAATTAAAGTGTTTATGCAACAGAATTTTAGCCCAACATTTTATGACTGAATATTCGAGGAACTTCTCTTAAATGCCTGCTGGAAGAGGATTTTAAAATGACAGAGTACCATTTTTGTAAAACTTCCCTACCTTGCTTAGTTTCCAAGATATTGAGGTTTGTTTCATATGCAAATTATCCTACTTGTGACATCACAATACATACATGATATTAGAAAAGTGCTTTTTCCTTTTGAAATTTGAATGAAAAATCCAAAACATTTCTGTTGCTGAATGTGTACGTGTTTCAAAAGTGGTACTTCATCATTTTAACATAAAATTTCGTGTCTTGTCCTCAAGGTCTCTTGCTTTCTCTGCAGGCAACTATATAAGATAAAACAGCAATGCATAAAACTATGTTTATATTATGTAAAATCATCTATGCAGCACATTTGTATTGTTCTCGCTGAACAAGTGGACGTATTATCTCTTTTCATTACTATATTTAACTTAACAGTTTCATGAACATGACACTGTACAGTAGGTGGATCAATCATGTTGTGGCTTGTGGGATGTTATATTGTTAAACTAACTGTTGCGTCCCAGGGAGGGAACAAAGTGTCAACCAAGGAAAACACGAGATAAAAATAAGCTTTTATTCGTAAAAACCAAGGTGAAAACTATACAAAGAACGGAAACGAATATCGTACACAAATTACAAATATTAAACAGTAAGATTAACGATTTACGAATAAATACGACAACATACATACATCTATAGCTTTACTCCACTCCGATGAATAAGTTTTAGGAAACGTAGACTTTATAATCTCTAGACTTCAATAAGTTTTAAGTTTACTCCAGCTCCTACAATTTCAAAATGTGACCTCTTATATCCTAAGGAGGCCTGGGACGAGTTCAACATAAAGTTCTTACATCAAGTACATAACACTAACATATATTGTGGAATATAAACTGTCTATTGTGTGTAATAAAAGTCTTAACAAAACATTAACCAAAAATTACTTATTACTAAGCCAACATTGGTAATACTAGAAAAAAAAAAGATGTGCAACCAGGATTAAACATAATTGAAATATAGAACGTTCTCTGGTTGAAATATTAAAATTTATTACAAGCTTTCGGCTATCAGTCTATAGCCTTCAACGGGTAGAAAATATAAATTCAAAGATGGACGCTAACTGTTAGCGTCCTTCTTTGAATTTATATTTTCTACCCGTTGAAGGCTATAGACTGATAGCCGAAAGCTTGTAATAAATTGTTAGCGTCCTTCTTTGAATTTATATTTTCTACCCGTTGAAGGCTATAGACTGATAGCCGAAAGCTTGTAATAAATTTTAATATTTCAACCAGAGAACATTCTATATTTCAATTGGTAATACTGTCTGTAAGTCTGTAACAACCAGAGTGTCAGTAGCAATCAAATCCATATGCCTTGCATTCCAATGCTTTGTCCATGTCCCTTGAGAAACTGTCAAAAGTTTTGTGGGTTGTTGGCAAGAATAGCTTAAAGCCACATGTGCTGGAAGAAGGGTAACAAACTTGTGGCTTTTCAATGTAAGCAACTTCCACTTGTTTTGTTATTCCACTAATTTAATTGCTGCCCAGTTGCAAACTGCAACACAGCACCACATTGTGTCAGTTGTTTGTCTGCAAAAATATAGAACACTTATTATAAAACCTTGGCAGTTGTGGACCTTTAAACCATATACAAAAAAAATGCCTACATAAAAAAATAATACATGAAGCATACATCACAAGGGACAAATGACATACTCTGGACAATATCACTGACCAGAGGATGTCATTTGTTCCAAATTTGTCCCTTGTGAGGCAATAGTATTATTGCTTACAGTGTGTGTTCATATGAATGGCACATGTCATTACCTTCTCCACATGCAATTGTGACTTCTCAATTGATGTATCTCATAAATAACTTTTTTGCATGTTGCTGCTGTACATTTTCGCATTCCACAAAGCGCATGCAATTCATTAAATGACTTCCTGTTAGTGGACATCTGGATTGACAAATTTTTTTTTGAAAGTGCTCAGGGTTATTTTTGGATTGCCTCCAGAACACCACAAACTTTTAACCCTTGCAACAGCTGGTTTAACGCTGACTCTCTCTCTTCCAAATTATTTCATGCAGCAGTAGGTAGCAACAAGGTGTTCCTTTTCCTTGATGTTATAACTCCAGTCCACCCTGATGAATAGCTACAGTCATATTAACCCCTGATAATTAATAATAGCCAAAATACAGGGCACAATTAGTGCATTTTGCAATGGTGTTAATGCAGAATAGATAGCAAAATGTACTACCTTAAGTACCTGCATTGCAAATATAATCAAGTACTTCTGGACGATTTACCACATCTTAGAATGTTTCTTCAGTAGTTGCTGATAGCTAAATTAAAGCAAATGGACACCCCTGAATTGTAAATAACTGCTGAATGAATCTAATTGGATCCAGGAAATTATTAGTGTTTATGAAATATTTAACCTTTAACCAACAACAACTTAGTTAACAAGAGTGACTATCACTGTGTCAAATCTTTTGTGGAGTTTGTGGTAATTTGCTTATCAGCCATGGGTGCCTGAGAAGCATTTCACATCTCTTGATAAAACTTAATCTGAAATCATTATGTACTGTCAGGGTTTAACTGCAGGCACTGCTGCTGACACATACCTCGGTAATGATGTCTCACATCTTGTTGGGAACAACATCTGGTGTGCAGTGTATTAAGCAACTTTCAGCATTTTGTGTTGCTATGTATTCAAAAACTGGTCTTGCTAAATAAGGGATCCCTACATTTTCGAATGGCGACAAACATATTTAACTTAGATTTGTGAAATTTTAATAGTGGTACCACATTACTAGGGTGCCAAGACCAGCTACAATTGCCAAACACATGGGTCTAGAAATGACCAGAAGGCACTGGATGACTTGCATAACAATATCTTAATTTATTGTCACTCTTATCTGCAAATTTTATCAGATGTTGAATTCTACTGGAAAGTGGAACATCACATAAGAGACCTGGATTGGTTGGATCAACTTTGCCATCAGAGAATAGTGCTGGAAATGCCATAGTAGCTAGAAATGGTGTTGAATATTCATTCAATGGTTCACTGTCCAACTATGGCCAATGTATTTTATTGTTTAACAGCGTTTTTTTTTCAATCGCTTCCGACTCCAATTTATCATTTTTGTTATGTGGAACGAAACTACTCGTTTCTGTAGAGCCGTTGTAAACCAAATCTTCAACATTATGGTCATCGTTCTGTACAGTCTGTACACACTCTTCAGTTAATGCTACTGTTTTTAGATTGTGCAGAATGCCATTCTCTGGTAGAGATTCTAAAGCATGCGTGTCCATTTTTAGGTCTTTGTATTGAGGATTGTTTTTAATCAACCATTTTAATGCTTGTTCAACATGCTTTTTCTTCTTACAGTTACGTACTTCAAGGCATTTATCTCTCCCTTAACAGTCACAAGAACTAAAGGTAAATTGTTAGGATAATAAGGCAATGTTTTAGCGAATGTACCTAGTTTTTGAGGCATATTTATACAATGTCCAGACTAACCACATTGCCCACCTGGTTTTAGATAAACTTGCATAAAAGGCAAAGCACGGGCAATCAGCATTTCCTCTATTTGAGTTAAATCTTGAAGCTGTCTTGGCACAGGTGATGGGATCATAAAGTTTTCTTTTGAGAATTTCTTGGAAGTTTCTTTGTCCATGCTACATCTTTTACATATGTAAGATTTCAATTTTGGTTTTGTATTAATGGCCAAACTTCAAAGCATATTGTGCATTGGAAAATTTCATACTTAATTGGACCTATGGAAGATCTTTATATTTTGTTTTGCTACTGTGTCAAAGATATTGGAAGCAAGACGATCAGTTGAGCAACATACTTCAGTTTTAGCCTGCTTTGCTCTGTTTGAATCAGCGATGTCACATTTTCTTTTGTTCCTTGTTTGAGAAAGCAATTTTTCATCACTCTATGTACTGATAACCTTTGTCTCATTAACCTCTATATTATTGCTAGTTTCATCATTAATTCATTGAACAAACAAACTTTGATCAGTTATATTTTCTGCTTTCACCTTCTTGAAATATTGATACATTATGTCTCTATCCTTACACTTCTTGTTAATTGTTACCAGCCCAGAAACATCAACAACAACATCAAAATGTAACCCCATTTTCATGATATAAATAAATAGAGTGGTCATTAATAGGCAAGGATTTATCTAGCATTTGCTTCGAAAACTTGTGCCAGCTATAACTTTTAGCACTCTTTGTATAAATATAAATATCTGTACTGAACAGTGATGTGGCTGATAATATCTCAATATCTGTCCCTCAAACTTTATCAAATGCCATTTTAGAACTTACCAAATAACGTGGTTGTAAAACAGATTCAATCACTTTCATGTGAGTTTTAATCTTATTCCTAAACTGTTTGAAATATGTTTGTCGACCAATTACTGCAAATGATAAAGCTCTAAATAAACAATTACCTTCACCCCGAAAAGAATGCTGTTTTACAGGTATTCCTAATACACCTTTTACGCAATGAAAAGCACGTGTAGTATCACGTGACATTTATATGTAAACAAAGCGTAATGTTCGGACAATGAAAACGCGCGCAATATTTAAATCGTATAGAAAGCCTGAATATATATTCGCATAATATTCATATATAAAGTAAAAAGTTGTTTCGTTAGTGCTTTGTCCGGATTATGGATGCTACTCGCGAGTCCGATGTCTTTAAAAAGATGACCGTAGTTCAAATTAAAAATTTTCTACTTGCAAGAGGAGTCAGTGTAAATGGCTATGATAAAATTACGCTGATCAAAATAGCTGCTGCGGTTGAAAGAATGTGTATTCCTCTACTTCCAACCTTAACAAACGATCGAAAGAATGGTGCTGCAAGCGATGAACGTTTGATTATTAATGATATGGAAATCGAAAACCCCTTTAAAATGTCTGTGATGAATAACTTCATCGACTCTCCATCTTTCGGTTTGTACGACATATTCAACTATTTGATTTTCCATTCGACTGCGTACGATAAGCAAGGTCTAGCTGCGTACAAATCCTTCGACGACTACAGTCTATTTGAAGATGGCCATGTAGAATCGTTAATGACTAAAACATTGAACAATGAAAGGCTTCATGTCTATGTAGCTAAGGTGCGACCAGCTATGAAGGTGAAAACTGATGATGGAAAACCTTGCTACGATCTTTGGTTTATCTTGGAAGGTCATGGTCCCAACCGAGGTAGCGTTTTGAAGGCGAAGTGTATGTGCAAAGGAGGCCGTGATGGGGGATGTAAACACATCGGGGCCGCCATGTATTCGCTGGAAGAGGTGCTGAACACGCGAAGTAAAGATAGCGTGACAAGTGGCAGTTGTGTGTGGGTCAAGAAAGCTAGCGCTAGTACGAAAGCATGCGAAGTATCTGACCTAGTGATTGAAAAACCAAAATTACCTTCGTACAAACTGAGGAAGAGGGACCACGCATATTCTCAAAACATTGACGTGGACGTAAGAGCTCATAAGGACCAAAAGCCCATAAAGAAAAGAAAGCTGAGAAGACTTACCGGATTGATGAAACTAATGAAACAACGTCCTGCCATTCTGCCAGTACTCCAGAAACGATACTGCGCACCAAAGAAATCTCCAACACTATTGACCATTGAAAATGGTGACAAGAGTACAAGTGGTACCAGTTCAAGTGATGGGATCATGAAACGTAAAATTTCTATTTGCATGGAAAGCAACAAGCATGCCACAGAAGATTTAGTGTTTCAAAAGTTATCATTCACAGACAAGGAGATTGATGATATCAACCAGGCTACGGTAAAACAGTTCCAGTGCAAAGAATGGTATTGTGAAAAAGCTGGTTTCATTTCAGCATCGAAAGTTAAGCGTGTTGTTACCAGACAGGCAACTATTGAAAACAGACCAAAGAAGACAGATGTCAGCTGTCTGGTAAACATGATTACAAATCCCAAAGTACCACCAAACATTGTTCTGCCACAACAACCACACAACTCATTAACATGGGGGTTAGTTCATGAGACAAGTGCAAGGGATGCTTACTTACGAGTTGAAAGGCACAAACACCACAATATAAAGTTAGTGTCTAAAGGCTTTCTCATTTCAAAGAAGAGAAAATTTCTTGGTGCCAGTCTCGACAACATAAAGACATGCCAGTGTTCCAGTAATTGTCCAGATGTTGTTGTCGAATATAAATGTCCATGGAAGCACAAAGATATGCATCCCAAAAAAGCGTTTTTGACACCAGAAATTGGTGGTATTGAAAAAGATAAGACCTTCTGTCTTACCAAAAGCAGTGCATACTATCACCAGATCCAGGCACAAATGTTTGTTTCTGAGCTTTTTCATTGTGACTTTGTTGTTTGGACAAGTCAAGGAATTTTTGTTCTGCCAGTATCATATGATGCTGCATTTATGGACCATGTTTGCAATCAGTTGGAAGCATTTTGGAAAGCAGAAGTTCTCCCTTGTATGATGGCAGACTCAAACTTGAATGGTAATTATGTTTATTTGTCAATATATATCACAGAGTTACAATTTCAGATTGTATTTCAAATTGTGAAATATATGTTTGTTCTGTTGCTTGTCTAGTTGCTAACACAGTAACTGGGGACAATCTAGATACAAACAAAGAAACTGCACCTAGAGTTACAAACAACAATGGGCATTCAGGTGAGTCAGTGCAGTGCACTGTGCTTAATTAAATTACAATTAGTTGTTCAGCTAGATAGTGGTTTACTAACTAAGTGATCACAAATACATTCTATGTTATCTATATTTATTTAGTTTCCCCTATGGTAACCCAATTACCTTGCAATGAACCTTGCAATATGCAAGTTATGGATTGTGATGGGAACAATTCCACTACAACAACATCATTCAAATTTCACGGTATTGAAGTGTATGAGCAAGATATTACAACCCTCGAGCCAGGAATGATGCTTAATGACACAGTTGTAACTGTCTTATTTGAGTAAGTGTATAAAAGCTTGTGATATTCACTTCATGTAAAATTCATACACAGAACTGGTTAAATTAATATCACAAAAAAAACACTTCTTATTGTAGAGAACTTGCTTGTCCATTCCCAGTCATCGATTCTCTTTTTTATTCTGTTCTTTGTGGGGAACAAGATGTAAGAAAAGCAACAAGCAGGTATTTCTCAATTACTGCATGCATGCACAAGTATTTATTATTAAATTGGTCATGACCATGCATATACATGTCTATCTGGTATCAGATTATGTTTTATGTAATGTAGGTCTGAACGAATCCTATCAGCCCAACCATTTTTCAAGGCAGATATTTTGAAAAATGACTACATAGTAATTCCAATCAACAGGAGGTATGAAACAACCTGATGATTACTTAATTTAAATGTAATCCACAATAGAAAATTGTTCTATCCTAAATGAACTATATATTCATTTACTTGCAGGCTACACTGGTTACTAGCCATCATAACCCCATGGTATTATGTGCAGTATTATATTTTTTGTCTGTAATTAAGTGTTAATTACTTATAATTAATAATGTTGTATTGCATTACATTTTACAGGCATGTGCTTTTTTTGGACTCTTTATCCTGGGAAATTTCTAGCAAAAGAGCTGAAATGAAGTATTTAATCAGGTGGGTTTGTTGAGGCCAATATAGTTGTGCACATGCAATTAATATTGTATTCATGTGTCTTCTTTTATATAGTTATTTAGATCATATGTCTAATATATCAGGGAATCCCAATAGATGCACAAGTTTGAAATGCCATGTTCTAAAGGTTTGTGATATATATGTGCTATATATCTTGTATTTCCAAAGTGTATTAGGTTTAACCTCTGTTCAGTGTTCTTTTAGATGCAACCATTTTTTGTCTATTATATATAGGTTCCAAGGCAGGATCCTCATACTAACAACTGTGGGATTTACATAGCAATGTTTCTCAGTAGCTTTGAAAAGGTAAATGGTATTCAATATGTCAATTGAATAGTTTTCTATTACTCTACAAAAAGTGCTTTCTCTAATTACAGGACATTGAAAAATATGAGGAAAATCCTGATGAGTATGTCAAATTGACTCATTGTTGGTTCACAGAAGATGAAGCTGAAGAAAATAGAACCAGGATTAGAAACCAACTTACAGGACTGAGTTTATTGGCAAAACATAGAAAATAATTTACAGCTCAAGTCTACAGTATTCTTCCTCCTTGTTTATACAACTGGGCTGCAAATTTACTAATGCAGCACAAACAGCAATTATTGAGTTTACATGAGGCTTCATTGTTAAAGGGAAAGCACCTTTCAGAATAGTAAAACATTTTAGTTTTCTGATCATTCTTTCAATATGTACTCTTATTGTGGCCACACGTCGAGTTTGAGTTGATGTTACAGCAGACACATTTCCTTTCCTTAAAAGAGGTGGGGCCAAAAGCTTTGCTTCTTTGAGTGCTAGCAGGTCTTGAATATTAAAACCTTTGTCGGCCATCACCACATCACCTGCTTCAAGATGATCCAAAAAACCACTTTCTTTTACGATTTCTTTATCACTAATACTGCCAGTGAAGAGTCTTGAAACAAAATTAAGATGAGGTAAAGGAGACATTGAGATCAACAACTTGAAGGTATTGGTGGACTTGTACTGGCTGTAGGTGGTTCTTTGGCAGTGTGGTCTCGAAGGTTTCTCTACATAGAATTCAGTGCAATCAATGATAGCTCTGAGGTTCTTTATACCACGAAGTGCCGTTGGAAATTCAATCCCTTGCAAATCATTTAACGTTGAGAAGGGCACAAAACATTTTAGTTCCTTACTCATGAAGAGAATCCAGGTTACAAAAATCCGGCTACCAGTCCCATTAGAAATGCCAAATATACCACTTAACATTTCAATACTGACATTCCTTCTCAACCTTATTAATGTGAACAGAAACTGTTCCCTGGTTGTGAGTTTGCACATATCATACTTCTTCTTGATATACATACTATGGCTGGTCGTCAACTTCGTTCTCTTTTTACCCCTCCAATAGTGAATTCGTTTTGCTTTTTGTTTTAAGATTTCATTAAAAATCGTATCAAGGCATTCCTTGCTCATGCCTGCAAAGACAATAAATAGTTGTAATAAATCACGTCACACAGCTTGTTTTAAAACAAAACTAACTACTCACCTGTATAGTGCATCGTTTTCTTTGGATCGTCCACTTTAGCTAGGAAAAGATGCTTATGCATCTCAGCACTGTCTACCAACATTTTGTCTTGATATGGGTTCAAATGACAAAGCTCAACGTTGGTCTAAACATAAATGTGAACACTATCACCGAAATTCACGCGCAAAATTCAGTACTGCTTTTATCAGCTCACCTGCGTACTACAAACAACTGATTGTTCAATCTTGTCGTCTACAAACGTTTCTACGTTAGAAGTTTCGTCGATGCTAGGATGATCTTCGTTGTTGGATTTGTCGCTGCACAGATTGCTGCAAGGGCCAACAGTCGCAGCACTATTTGCACTAAACGACAACAATATCTCAGCGACATTAAGTTCGGTGTCGGTCTTGCAACAATTCGTCGGTGCTTGGGCTAGCATTAGCAGCGAATTTGCAGCAGATTTTACATCACTTCGACGAGGTTTCTTCACGGGCTTCTGTCTGGCAACAGGGATTTTTCGTTTACGGTTCATCATGCGCTGCTGCGTATGTAAACAAACAGTCGATAATAAACACGAAATGTGGGCTAAAATCTCATCATACTTAAGATAATATTGTTGTTACTAACATTTTCTTTACTTGTTGTTGCAGATATAGGATCAGGGTTTTCTTTTGTGGGCCCATTTTCACCCACAAAGTGAACACTGCAAACGTAACTATCCTTGTTACAATTGAATGAGTCGCCACGTTTACATGCTTCAATCCACCGTTTTCTCCTTTCTGGACATCTCTTCGCTCCAGGAAAGTGGAAAAATGTCACAGGATCACCTTCTACATTTTTTTGCATACGTTCAGGGTAACGAGAGTCGTTTTTGCACGTACCCCAAGCACATCTTTTTGTGGCAACCATAGTTCGATATTTAAATATTGCGCGCGCTATCATTGTCCGAACATCACGCTTTGTTTACATATAAATGTCACGTGATACTACACGTGCTTTTCATTGCGTAAAAGGTGTATTGTTTAGAATGTTTTATTTTGTGACTAGATTGCCCCCCCCCCCCATGTAGCGCCAAAATCACGCACCGCTTGATGAAAAACATGTGTTTTTTAGCATCCTTAAAATTAACTTTTGGAAGTTAAAACCTCAGGAGAATGTAGTAAAAATACTGGTGTTTAAACCAATTAAATTTTTATATTATTTTTATTTTGTAATTTGCAAGATATTCTGTAAGTATCTTCTGTAGTATATTTTAGTAAAAAACTTGCCAACCTTCTCATAATAAAAACAATAGACCGAGTAGACTCGCCAGCGCCACAAGAATGGAAACATTTCTGGGCTGCCTATGCTGTAATTAGCAATGTAAAAATGTGTTTTCAATGCCAGGAATATGTCTGAATCTGCATTCTTTGACTCTGAGACAATATATGGATCAAAAATATACAAAAATATCGATCTGCTGATTGACTTTGATCGGGATTTTCTATGATGATGGCCTCAAGAGTTGTGTCCAACATTGGTTGTGGGTTTTCGGATGCAGGTTCCTTTATTGACACTAAACATAATTCTTTTGTCAATACTTACAAATACAAACTAAGGAGTGGATTTTCGTACTGGAGCAGTACGACTCATTTTCTGATTGTACTGCTGCAGTGACCAAATATTTGTTGAGTTTACTTGCAAAACAATTGCTTTAGCTACATTTATTTATCACATCATCTTTACGAAGTATCGATCATCCTCATTTTAGCTATTTTAGCTCAAATTTCTTTCCATTTCAGATGCAGCTGTCTCTAAATACATGGTAATATTGTAATATATAAAATATTGGAAGAAGTGCCATGGCTAGTAAGGACCAGCTGGTCCATGATGTTATTGTATGTTCAAAATAAGCCCCGTTTACACTACACTGTATTTATTGGCATGGCTAGAATGAGTACCCATGCCCATTTCATCTGTGCTCGGCCTTTGTTTTGGTATTCTGAACACTAATAAAATTGGGTACGGGTACCAATTTTAGCCGTGCTACGCCGATAAATCGAGTTTAGTGTAAACAGGGCTATAGAAGTCAGAAATAAGAGACCATTACAAACTACATGTTTAACTTTAACTATATTCAATAAAAAGTATATTGTCACATGTTTAAAGAGTTTATTGTGAAAACACCGGCTTACCAATGTCGCCTATATCTTGGACTTTAGCCATTGTACGTACATTGTCTGTTTGGGGTTCAGGCACTTCTGCTGACGAACATATTTTTGGCTTTTACTGCACGGCTTTATGGCTTTGAATGGATTCGCAGGTGCGTCTTTATGTGGTATTAGGACCCATTTTCCTTTATGTTGCAATTGCTCATGTTTATTGCGATAGTCATTGTCAAAGTTGCATTGCATTCAAGACACTAAAGTTTTATTCATTTTCGTTTTGGTTTTGAACCGCGCATGATACAGAGACGTAGAACACCACCATCATAGATCAGTAACAGAGAACAGTAGAATGAAAAAGACAGAACATGAGACGACACTGGACACTTGCCAGGGGTTAGTAATTTTATGTTGGCAATGAAAAATGTCAAACGTATCTGCCCAGGTGTGCAGAGTCAATTATCTTCAGCCCTTAGAGGAACACATAACACTAGCCACACATAATTTTTACAAGATTAACGTTTTGCCAAAATAAGTTCAGAAATTTGAGTTTTAAAATGGAAACTTGCTGCCTGACGACTGAAGGAACTGCATGTGATGACGAATTTGCTGACTAAACGGGACGTATAATGATTATACGCCCGCTCACGACAGCCCCGGTTTCTTGTACTGATACATTGATGGACATGTTACTGTCTGCGTTGTTTATGATCCACTTAAAAAGATACATCATATCTAACTGCATGTTCAGAAATTTAAAGTCTGTACAATATATTCATTCATGTGCATGGCAATAATACAAGTTTTGTAGGACGTCGTCGTATATGTTCGATGGTAATGCGTTGGACCATTAGTATTCGACATGCGTTCGTAGATTCATTGGGAGATAAATTATAGTTATTTACGTTCACCACTCTTCTTCGTGTGAGATAGAACAATGACATTGGTTCTCAACTGAAGAATCTGTTCACCCGTTTCTAGAAATTGACAGTTCACCAATTATTTACAATAATTAATTTATTAGTACTGAATAAATGGGTTGAAGATATTGGATAATCAGGATGTTGTGAACTAAGGTTTGAAATTCTTTCCTTCAAAATCTCAAGATCATTTTCAGTATGATTTCTTTCTCTGATACGATTTAAAATTTGAACAAATTCTTTGTCTTCTTTTTGTCTCATAATTTCTGATAATTCGAACATTTGAAAATATTGTTGCCAGAGATTTGTTGCTAATGCAGCATAACCGTCCTTTGAATTCTCAAATATCCAATTATCAAATACAGGTTTCAGTTGAAACAAGTCGCCAACAGTTATTATACTAAGACCACCAAATGGTTCTTTTGTACCTATGCTTTGTTGTAACCTTTGGTGAAGAAAATTAAACATACTACTGCCCACCATAGATATTTCGTCAATAAAGATAACTTGCATTCTGTGTAACTGAGATCTTATTGTATTCAACCGGTCTCTACATAGTGTACAATAATTAAATCCTCTGTTCGCTGGAATTTTAAATGCGGCATGAAGTTTATTTCCTATTGTGTTAAAAGCAGCTTTGCCTGTCGGGGCAAGTTTTACAACACTGACATCGTCAGGATCATTCTGAGGTTAAGAATTTAAGTATCTTATAAGAGCTCCATACAAAGCATTAGTTACAGTACTTTTACCTACACCAGCACCTCCACTTAAAAATAGTCTCATTGGTGGGCTTATCAGTTTTGATAGAGTTCAGTACATGGTAAAAAAACTCTTTTGTTTAACATTAAGTGATTGGACAAGTTTTCTAAAATCGACATCATTAAGCCTTTTTACAACAAGTTCTTCATAATCGTTTGTTCGGGGATAAATGCCAATATCATTTATCAAGTCGTACTGGGCATGTTGTTTATCTTTTCCAGGATCAAAGCATCTGAATAATTCACTTGCTTTCAGGTCAATTTCTCTGTCTTGTTCATCTCTATACTGTGTATTTGGGAGCGACTAAATTCTCTTCACTTTCAATATCTTGTACGGCCTGATCAAGAACTGAATTCAGTGTGATTCTCATATTGTTTTCTGTTTTGTTCTATCACATCTTTGACAATTTCATATTGGTCTTGGTGATGTTTCGAGTCCTTCAAAAGATCTGTATTTTCATTTCTCCAAGCAGTGTAAAGCATCTACAATAATTTTCTGCAACTTTGTTTTCATTAAATCTAACAGACCGTATTAGTCTTGGCTTTTGCCTTTTCACCAGCGATATTCCACCTTTCATTTCACATTGGTCATTTTCATTTTTTTCCTGTTCTTTATCAGAAAGATCATCATCTACATAATCATCGAAATTACTCTCTAAAAGATAGTCATCTATTAATGTTGAATTTAATTTGTGTTTGCTTTGTTGATTACTGTTACTTTTACAATTGAACTAATATTTTGGTCTACATCAGTTTGAGATAAAGGCTCTAAAATCATAGTTCTTGGCATTGGTGGTAATGGAAAATTAAATCTGCAAACAGCATTTCTTCTTTTCTTGCACGTTTTGGAGTGCTTATGTCTTATTGTAAATCTATTAGTTCAGTTAAGCCATCTGAGTAAGTTTTAAACGAAATGTTGGTGTCTACAAATTTGGTAATAACTTCATCGGAATCTTTACCATATTCGGGTGCGTTTTTTATCCAGAATAATCCATGGATATGTGGAGAACCTCTTTGCTGGAATTCAACAAGATAGAAAAAGTCAACAACTTCTCCAATTGGATGGAATGGATTTTTTATAAAATTGTGAATAACTGCACCATATGTTCAAAATTTCGTGCACATGTTACTGGATCTTTTTGTATCAGTTCAGACTTCTTTTGCGAAGTCATTTGTTTAACCTCATCGTCAGTGTAGTCTTTTTTGTCAATAAGACGACCAAGAATTTTAATCAAATTAATCCAGCGTGTTTCAGCAGCTGAAAATGAACAAAATCATGTAGGTGTCCCAAGCTGACGAATCATTGCAAATAGATCTTTCTTACATCTTTCAAA